CCAGCCTTATCCCACTGCACCTTATAAGCACGGGCTGAGTTCTAGAGAGACTCCAGAGCTGGTCTGAAAGTTTGCTCAGAACTGAAGTGGTCTAAGAAACTGCCAAGCTCAGCAGCCCTACAGATGGGAGAGGAGCCCACAGATGGGAGAGGAAGCTATTCTCCTGGCCAAGGTCCTGACACAGAGTTTGCCAGAAGAATAGGCAGATTTGCGGCAGACTGGAGCTAGCACTGGCACTGGATTGAAACCTCCCTTGTAGTCCCGTAGACAGTTTTTTGCATAAACATAGAAATTCACCTCTCTGGTCTTAAAGCTTGAAACTTTCATTTGTTTTATATGAATTTCTTCCTTAGTAAAGGACACCTACCTCCCTCAAAAAGCATCAAAGAATTGAAACTCATCAGATGATCCCATTCAGACAATGGGACACCAGGCTTCTCATAAATTATGATTGCTTCCTTAGGTCTCTTGAGTTCCTGTTTTGCTACACATTGTTACATTTCTTCCGTGCTATGTAAACTCCTAATTTTAGTTGCTCAGGGAGATTGATTTGAGACTGAGCTCCCATCGCCTCTGCTACAGCATCCAATTCAGTCTTCTTCCTTGGCGGTGATATTGATTGGTTTTCTGTGCAGTGAGCTGCAGGACCTAGACCACACCCCTGGTGTTTCAGTAAGATTTTGGTTCTCCAGTCAGGAACACTTTGGCTCGCCTGCCATGGACCAGGAGTCTCAAAGCTCTCCTAAGCAGCTACTTACCCAATATTGGCTGGAGATGAGTTCCCTCTCTCTCCATGTTCCTGATTGCCTTGGAAAAACTGCCTTTGAAATTTGACATCCAGAGAGGTGACTGTCTTTTGTGGGCTCAGACAGAAGGATGTGCTCCTCTCAATTTGAGAAATTTTTAAAGGAATTTCCACTTGCAGGTTGAACAAGCCCAACTGATGAAGAGAGGGAAGTATCCTGATTGTTCCAGTATGGACACCCTTGGGGGCTTTTCATTGTATGTGTATCCAGGCAAGTGAGTGTCTTTTGTGGGTACCAGACAATGGGATCAGCTCCTCTCCGTTTGAGAAATTCTGAAGGAATTTTCACTTACAGGTTTATTGAGTTTAACCAATGGAGAGATGAAGCACCCCAACTCTTTCAGTTTGCACACTTTTGGGGCTGTTTGATCCTGAAGCAGTTGCATAGTGTTTTAGTGACTGTTTGCATGTGTCTGTTTGCATAGTCATGGGAAATTAGAATTTGATAAACTGATAACTCTTTTGTAAGACTGTTTGGCACCAGTATAGTTTGAATTTGGAGTTGCTATTGAATGGGAAAGCGGATTGAAATTCCATGTATCCAGGCTTTTGTGCTGCTGTTGGACCAGGTTAGTATGTGGTGTTCTCCTGTGGTGCTGTTTGACCCGTGTTCTTTGGAGTCTGGAGAAGTTTGGCCTTTAAAGATTAAACTGCCACAGAAACGGCTTTACCTAAAATTTTGATTCACAGCCTTCAGTGGATTACCTATCAAGGTTAACCAAGTTCAGCCATGTGGACATGTTTGCAGACTGGTAAGTTTGTATTGCTATAGCTTTAGTTCCCAGGTAAACGCTATTGGGTCTTTGTGTGTATATGCATCTAGATGTGTTTATGTGTAGGCACATGTATTACGTTACATGTTGTCACTACAAAATTGGCTTATAAATAAAAGAGTGCTCATAGATTAAGTTAATAAGTTCAAAGTCTTTTTCATGTTCATGTTACTTAAGGAAATCTTTAGCAAGCTATCATTAAAATTATTGTAAAATAAAAATAGAAATGTCTTCAGAATTGTCAACATACATTTTTGTCTGGGTTTTATATTTCTCACTGCTCGATATTTTAAGGCATCAGAATTTGGCACAGAAGGTTATAAAACTATAAACAGGATTATGAGACCAGTATGGGAGGCAAAGATCCCCCCATCCCAATAAAATAAAAATAAAACAATTAGCTGGGCACAGTGATTCATGCCTGTAGTCCCAGATACTCAGGAGACTGAGGTGGGAGGATTGTTTGAGCCTGAAAGGTCAAGGCTGCAGTGAGTCATGATTCAGCCACTGCACTCTAGCCTGGGTGACAGAGTGAGACCCTGTCAACAAAAAATGAAAACAGGCAGAGAATGACAATGGGGTACAGGAGCATTGCAGAGAGACTAGGGGAGCAGTTGTAATTTTTAATAGGATGGTCAAAGGAGGCCTCATTGAGCAGGTGGCTTTAAGTGAAGACTTAAAGAAGGTAATAGAGGTTTCTCCAGGTCTTTTGAGAAAACAGAATGCAGGCAAAAGAAAAATGACAGCCAAGTGCCTGAAGCAGAGTGGCCAAAGAGAGTAAGGTCACGGATGTGACTGGGGGGATGTCAGGGAGGTGACTAGAGTCTAAGTCGTGGAGAACTTAGAGGGCTGTTATAGGGATTTATATCTCTTCTTCTGAATGCGATTGGGAGTTACTGCAGGAGTTGCACAAAGGGATGAGGAAATCTGGCTTTTGTTTTAAAAGGAGCATTCTGGTTCTCCACTGATAAAAGACTAAAGACATTCTGCATCCAGAATACACTGCCAAGAACTGTGAAGCATCTAAAAGTTTGCCCTACTTGGGGCATTGTTTTGTAAATGCTGGCAGGTGACACAAACTTCCTGGGTCAAAGACACTAATTTATGACTCACTAAACAGGGAGAAAGATTTTTGTGTTTGTGTCCGTCCTCCTGGCTCCACAAGTCATACAGAGGAAATACAGAAAAGCAGATTAATGTTGCAAATGCAACAGATGTGTGCGGCAGCCAAGGAACCCTGAATTTAGGGAGCCTAGATGTTTTACAATGTGCTGCAAGCAAAGCTGTCTGAAATTTGCTCCAGACACAGACATTATCTTTCTCATACTGAACAGTAAGCAAACCTGCCCTCCACTTCAGAAGAAAGCAATATCTCTAGCTACCAAGCTGTCCTCTTTACAAACATCCTTGAAAACTTAGCAGCAAAGGCTGTCAATGTCTCTGCTCCTAAAACATGCAGAAATGGGAGAGGTCATGAATAATTTTCTCCCAACCAGAATTAGGAGGATGTCATAATGTATTGGATGTAAAGTGAAAGGGGAAAATATACTTAAGAATAACTTCAAGTGTTTTTATTTGAACATGTGAAAAGATGGAGTTGCCATCCCCTAAGTTGAGAAAGACTACCAGTGAAGGTGCCTGGGTGGAGAGGGTGGATAAGGAGTCTGATCAGAGACACAATGCGTTTGAGATGGCTATTGGATGGAATTCAAGAGATGTCGAAGAGGCCAATAGATATATATGTTTTGAGTTTGTAAAGGAGTTTGAGTAATAATATAAATGTGTTAGTCATTGGCAGGTAGATTGATTTTAAAGCCATGGGACCAGATGGGATAACAAGGGAGTATGTGTGGATACAAATGAGGACCAATGATTGGACTCCATGAAGTGATCCAAAATTAAGAAACTGGGTAGAAAAGAAGGGTCCACTGAGGAGACTGAGAAGAAGTAACCAGTGAAGATAAAGGAAACCAAGACAGTGTTGTCTTGGAAACCAACTGAAGAAAGTCCATTAAAGGATGATCTTTTAAGATGAGAAGCAATAATTGACCATTGGATTTAATAACATAGAGATCACTGATGGCTTTAAAAAGTGTTTCAGTAGAATGGTACCAGCAAAATCTCAATTAGATAAGATTGGGAGGGGGTTTGGAGATAGCATGTCTGGACAATCCTTCCAGTGAATTTTGCTACAAAGTGTTAAAGCAAACTAAATATGGCCTGAGAAGGACTCTGTACTTCTTCATTTGAGTCCTTGTGGGTGAACTGTAACCTACCTTAATAATCAGACAAGATTGAAAACCTAATCTAGTAGTGTGCACCTCTAACAATACTTGAGTGTTACCCAATCCCAGCAGCCATACTTCAACCACTCACAGACTGCTGACTGTTCAAACTGTGTTCAAATAAGGCAAACGACCAGTTGTAACCAATCTCAGTGTTTCTGTACACCACTTCCGGTTCCTGTATGTCACTACACCTTTTTTTTTTGGTCTATAAATTGGTTTTTACTTCGAGGCAACCCCCAGAGCCTCTGTGAATCTGCTGTGATTCTGAAAGCTGCCTGATTCACAAATTGTTCATTGCTCAATTAAATGCCTTTAAATTTAATTCAGCTGAAGTTTTTCTCTTATCAGACGGTGTCAGAAGCAGGATCTGAAGTGGAGCTTCCAGTATCTCCAGGAGCACTGAGTAAACACGAAAGGTACCGGCATGATCCACTGTGTCCATTGATCTCTCAGAGTGGCTGAGGATCATAAGTAAGCTCCCTCTCGCATTTTGGAGCTTCACACATTTGTGTTTTGAGCGCTCTGTGTTGCTTTGAGCAAATTTCTGATCCAAACTGGGTTTGGAGTCACAACAGAAAATGGACTGGGTCTAGGAATGGATGTGGTCTTGGAATTAACTGGCTTGGATCCAGTTAAAGGCCTCTTACATCTCACTGGGTCAGAAAGAACTGGTAGTAAGCAGTAACATTGTAGGAGTTATAAAATTTGGCGTTTGAAAATTCACAGGGATGTTTGTGTTCTACCCCCTTTGTTTCATTTTTCTTGTGCACCTAGGTGGGAAAAAATCATTGGCTAAGTTAATCAAGAGAAGCTGAGAGTAAACCCAATATTTTAGGTAAAAATGGGATTCTTCATTCCAGCAGGGAGGAAGGGCATGGGTTTTGGAGTCATTCATATATGGTTTCAAAATCTGACTCTGGCATTTATCTCTGTAAGAATTTGAGAAATTTACTTAGTCTGTCTGAGCTTTGGTGTATTCCAAATGAAGACGACACTAACAGTATCTGCATCATGAGTGCTACTTCAACGGAAATGTATAAAGTACATTTTACACATTTGGTCTCTTACCATTTTCCCTTCACTTCTTTTCAGAGTTTCTTCTTGAAGGGCTCAAGGTCTGAAGCATCCCACAATATGATCCTACTGAATAACTCCCAGAAGCTGCTGGCCCTATACAAATCCTTGGCCGGGAGCATCCCTGAGTCCCTGAAGGTGAGGGAACAATGGGAGTGTCGGATTGCTTTGTGCATGTTTCTTTACCTTTCTGTGCCTTTACCTTTGGTCTTTTCATCAATAAAATTGGAAAAATATTAGCACCTACCTCTTAAAGTTGTTGTGGACACTAAATAAATTCATACATTATAAGTGCTAAGAGCATTGCCAAGTGCCCAGCTAGTGCACAGTAGCTCTTTGGCATCACAAGGACACCTACCTGTGAGTTCTGCCTGCTTGCTGGTGACTTCACATCCATCAACATGGTCCTGGAGATGCTGCTCATGTCACCTTCACTGTCTTGGTCCCAGTACTGTCTCTTGACCTCCATTTTTCTCTTCCTCTTCACATCCAGATCCCCATCTCTGGGAATCTCAACCTCTCTTATTCCCTTTCATCCCTCTGTCAGGTGTACGGCTCTGTGTATCACATCAATCACGGGAACCCCTTCAACATGGAGGTGTTGGTGGACTCCTGGCCCGACTATCAGATGGTTATTACCCGGCCTCAAAAACAGGTAGGCACACAGACAGGGACTGGTGGATCCAGGCAGGTCCAAAGGGCCTGAGGAACTGACCAGTTCAGACACCAGGGCTGCTTTTATAGGGTGAAAGGAAAAGTGAGTATTTTAAAACACTTCTTCAGTACTTGGCACCTTACATGAGTGCCACATATTCCTATTCTTCCTCTAAAGCATAAAACATTTGAGAAAGGGTTCGAGGGGGAAGGGGAGCAAAAGGACAAGGCTGACGCTCACAGATTAAGGGCCCTTTGAGGTGGCAGGGGTTACCTGCAGGGGCTGAATGGAGGCCACTTTACAGGGAAAGTTGGGTGTCTGAGATATCAGAACAGTGACTTAAAAACAAAAACCAGAGCAGAAGTCTACCGGTAAAATTACCTCTCAGGGCCAGGCATGGTGTCTTATACCTGTGATCCCAGCACTTTGGGAGGTCAAGGCAGAAGGATTGCTTGAGGCCAGGAGTTTGAGGCCAGCCTGTGCAACATAGTGAGACCTCATCTCTACAAAAAATAAACAAAATTAGCAGGGTGTAGTGGCGCATGCCTATACTCAGACACTCAGGAGACTGCGGTGGGAGGATGGCTTGAGCCCCAGAAGGTCGAGGCTGCAGTGAGCCAAGATCACACCACTGTACTCCAGCCTGGGCAACAGAGTGAGACCCTGTCTTAAAAAAAAAGTTACTTCTCAGGAACCAGGGAAGGGACACAAAATTACTGTGTGTCAACTATGTGGAAGCACTTCACTCATTAGTGACTGTCATCCTCAGAACAATTTTATGAAGTGAGCATTAATATCTTCAATTTAGAGATAAGGAAACCACACTGAGAAATATTGAGTCATGTAGCTGCTGGATACCAGATGTTAAAGCATTGCCCAATCTGAATTCAAGTTCAGTGGACTCTGCCACTTTTACTAGCTATATAACCATAGGCCCTTCTCTGAGTTTTATCATCTGTTAAAATGGGAAAAATAAGAGGACTTTCTTCAGAGGATTACTCAAGGTAGTCTCAGGATAAATGAGAACCCATATGTCAAACCCTTAGTACATAGCACATAATTCTAAATAGTATTTGCCATAATTAGCCATTATTGGCTGAGGACACACAAGGAATACACGATTAAGCTGAAATAGTAATACAAACCTAGGTCTATTTTTTTGCCCTAAAGACTTTCCCTTTTTGTGTCTGTTTCATGCACATCTGGTTAGTGAACTGAAGCCTCATGGCCAGCCCAGCTTCATGTGGTTATAGACGCTGAGCCCCCAAATAATAATAAGCTGAGCCTAACACCTTCCCCAGGGAGTTCTTTTGATCTCCTGGCTTCCTGACAATGTGGGATCGAAGATTAATGCTCAGTTTATTTAATCCATCGTCCAATTTCTTCAAAGCGTGATATGCTAAATAACTGTATGAAGTCAAATATCTTTACTTCAGTAACTTTGTAGTTGCTATGTGTATTGTAGCAACGTAACTGTACCATTAAACCGTAACTTCATATATGCATTGCTTTGAACAAGGCTAGTTTTTATAAAGTGATTCAATAGGCTGGGCGTGGTTGCTCATGCCTGTAATCCCAGCACTTTGGGAGGCCGAGGAGGGTGTATCACGAGGTCAGGAGATCGAGACCATCCTGGCTAACACAGTGAAACCCCGTCTCTACTAAAGAATACAAAAAATTAGCCGGGCATAGTGGCGAGCACCTATAGTCTCAGCTACTCGGGAGGCTGAGGCAGGAGAATGGCGTGAACCCAGGAGGCAGAGGTTGCAGTGAGCCGAGATTGTGCCACTGTACTCCAGCCTGGGTGACAGAGCAAGACTCCGTCTCAAAAAAAAAAAAAAAAAAAAGTGAGTCAATAAACAAAAATATTAAAATATAGAAGTTCCATGCCACACATATGTGACCAAAAAAATGGAAAGAATGAAGTATGCTGCAATTTACTTGGAAATACATTCATCTAGTCTGATTCCATATTATAACACGTTTCTTTCAGTATTGAAAGTCAATGCGATTTTGAGTAAGAACTTTTTAGGGTGAGATGCAGGAGAATTTTTGTAGAAAAAACTTAACTTTTTCTTTGTTGGGTTTTAATCACAAAGATAATATATGCTGATTATACAAGTGGAAAAATCCAGCATGATTTTAAGAATTTAATAACACCTCACCTCCTTTCCCCTCCTCTCCTCCATTTCTACCCCTTGGGGTAATCAGTGTCCTTGCCCATATTAACACACAAACGGATATTCACTTATGATCTCTTCTGTCATACTTTTTAATTTGCCCTTGACATATGGACATTGCTTTGAGTGAATCAATACAGCACTAATGTATTCGTTTTAATAACTGTGGCATTCCATAGAGTCTATGCAATGCTATTCAGTCATTCTCCTCCTGTTGGGTTCAAATTGTTCATACTTCTTTGCCACTACAAACAATGCTTCAATAAACATCCTGGTATACATGTCTTGACATCCTGGAAACTTTTCTCCGTACAATTGATTTCCAAAAGGGATACCTTCAAGTCAGAGCTTATCTTATCCTAAGTAGGCACTGCCAGATTACCTTCCCAAAGGATTCCACAGCTTTATTTCCATCAGCAATTTGTGGAAGAATTGTTTCCCACATTCTCACCAGCACTGAATGTTATCCATCTTTTAGTTTATGCCAAACTGGTGGGTGAAAAGTGGCATCTTATTGTAGATTTAATTTGCATTTCCCTGACTAGTGATATTCAACATATATTTTCATATGTTTGTCAGTCATTTGGGGTTTACTTCTAAATTGTTTATATTGTTTGATCATTTTTACGCAGGGGTTTATGTGTCATTCTTAAAATTCTCTATGTGTTTTGGATACTGGGGATACTAACACAAGGTGTATGCTACAAATTTGTTGCCCAATTTAGAATTAGTTTCTATTTTATTGATAGAGATTTCCACATGAAGAAATTTTTAATTTCATGTAATCAAATACATTATGTTTTTCACTATGATTTCTGAGGCTTTGTTTTTTTCTTTTTTTTTTCGTTAATAATTAGGAAGATTTTTCCTAATCCAAGATCATACAAGTTTTTTGTATTTTGTCTTACAGTGAATTAATTTTTACTTTTGACGTTTCAAACTTCATTCTATTTGGAATATATTTTTGAATAGCATGAATTAACATTCTTTTATATTTATCTCCCTTATGGCTGGCTAATTATGTCAGTACTACTTAGTAAATAAATCATTCCACTACTGAAACATAAATGTCTATTTTGTCATATAACACTTTTATATATTTTGTAGCTATTTTTGTATTTGTTTCTAGTCTTTTCTCATGCTATTTCTCTGTTTTGTGGCAAGTTTTAGTATCTAATAAAGCAAATCACACTTCACTAATCATTTTCTTACTTTCCTATTTCTTATAAACTTAAGAGCTATATGAACAAAAACTAAATTCTCAGTTCCCCAACTACCCCAACTAACTATTGCAATTGTGACTTGTATTGGAGGAGCTTTTTTAGACAATTGTGGAAGGATTAATATTTTTGTGATACTAAATATTTTTATCAATAAATATGGTCTTTCTCTCATGTTTTTCACTTTGTGTTCTATGCCATCTGGTGAAATATTAATGTTTTCCTGTGGTAAACTACGTGATTTCCCATTAAGTTTACCCTCATATTTTATAAATTTTTTTAAGATTCTTAAATTATTTTTCCTTTTCTATTTCTGAGGATTATTATTTTGTGATTTCTTTCTATTTATACTCTTGATTTCCAAATATGTCACACTATTCTTTAAAATCCTGTTTGTTTGTGTTATTTGTTTTTGTTTTTGTTGAAGTTTCTTGGATTTTCTAAATGTGTAATACTGTAATCTACAAACAAAGTAATTTGCTGCTTCTTTGTCAATATTTGTATGGGTTTTTAGTTTCTTGCCTTATTGAATAATGCACAACCTAAGAAACAATACCAACTAACCATAATAATAGTTCTATCCTTGTCTCATTCCTGATTTTAATGAAATAGCTATAACCACTTACATTTGGAATTGCATTTAATTCTGTCTTCACTAGAGCACTTTACTGTTGTTCCTACTTTCATAGAAATTATATTTAGAATGAAGGGCAAATTTTATGTTATTTCATTTTTGTCTTTTTGTGGCAATTTGTATACTCATGTAATTTTTTTCTCCTTTAATTTATTACACTAAGAGATCTTTTCTGATCAGAGTCATTCTGGCCTTTCTAAAACAAACTGTTCATGTTCACATTCTTTTCATATGCTACTGAATATTTTATTCAGAATTTTTGCATCTGTATTCAAAAGCCAATATGGTCAGTAACTCTCTTTTTGTTGTTTCTTTACCAGACTTGGAATTAGGATCTTTTCATCTGTTACCAACGTCTACTATTAAAATTATGTGTTTGGTTTTGGCTTATGTAGAATTTAAATGTAAAATAATCTGATTTTGGCTACTTTTTATTTTTTAATTTCAACTTTCCTTTTAGATAAAGTGGGTACATATGCAGATTTGTTACATGTGAATATTGCATGATGCTGAGTCTTGGAGTACAGACAAATCCCATCACCCTGGTGGTGAGCATAGTACCCAATAGGTAGTTTTCTAAGCCAGCCCCTTTCCCTCCACCCTGTAGAGTCCACAATGTCTATTGTTCCAACATTTGTGTCCATGTATGGTCAATGCTTAGCTCCCAGTTATGAGTGAGAACTTGTGATATTTGATTTTCCGTTACATCATTAATTTGCTTAGGATTATCACACTGTGGAAAGTAGTCTGGAAATGTCTTAGAGAACTTAAAACAGAGTTGCCATTCGACCCAGCAATGCCATTACTAGATAAATACCCAAAAGAAAATGAATCATTCTACCAAAATGACACACGCACTAGTATGTTCATTGCTGCACTGTTCACAATAGCAAAGACGTGGAATCAACCCAGGTGCCCATCAGAGGTAGACTGGATTAAAAAAAAAAAAAAAAACTTGGTATGTATATTCCTATGGAATATTACACAACAATAGAAAAGAATAAAATATTGTCCTTTGTAGCAACATGAATGGAGATAGAGGCCATCATTATTGTTCACTTTTCAAATGGTAGTTTAATTCAATTTCTGATATTTTCTATTAGTTTGTTGAAGTTTTCTATTTTGTGAAAGTCAATTTTGATAGTTTATTCTTGAGGGATAACATCCATTTCTTTATCAGTAAATATGTTGCCTTGGAGTAGTATATAATCTGCTATTATAAGTCTTCTTTTCTTTTCTATTTCCATTCTCAGAGCTCATACGCCATGCCTTTTTTTTTTTCTTTTTTCTCTTTCTCATGTATTTCCTTCAAAACCCTTACCAGAAGTTTATCTCTCTCTCTCCTCTTTCTATTTTTGCCAATTAAAAATGAAGTTTTGGCTTTATATATCCTTTGCACTCTGTCTTGTTCTACAATTCATTAATTATGGCTTTCATTTTTACAAATTGTTCCATTTGCTATTTTCTAGTTTGATATTCTTTTTATAATTTCTTGACTATCTACTTGGCTATTTTCAGTCATTCTTTTAAAATCGGGTCTTTTAAAACATCTGCTCTTTTAAAGTCACTGAGGTGTTGGTCTTGGGCATATTCAGGAACTTGCATTTATAAAAGCACCCTCAAATTCTTGAAGGTTTCTTTAAAATTACTTACACTATCCTCCATTTTACTCTTAACAATATAATTTTCAACATAATATTAATATATTCACTGCTAAAACTCTCACGCTTATTGTTTATATTTCCCCTGAGAAACAGATACTCATCGTCCCATGAAGTTTGTGGCTTGCCAGAATGGGATCATGAGTCTCTTTCTTTCAAACCCTTGAGTCTAACACCACATAAATTATGCAGAGTGCTACCAAAAATTCAGTTACTTCATTCTATTTTGTGGGCTTCTGGCTGTAAAGGCAATGTCACTCTTCGAATAGGTTGATATCCTGTAGCCTTGGGAAAAGGCAATGTCTCCTTAATGTTTATATTCACTAAAGTATCTTGCTCAAGCCCTGGACACTGTAGATTCTAGGACACTATAGGTTCTAGGTGTCTGGTAATACAGTAGGCCCTAAAACTTAGAGAATTCCCAGTTAAATTTATTCTGATTCAAGTTTAAGGACTTAATCCTAGCAACACAGACTGAGTTCAACCCAGAATATGTCCCACAGGAGGTTACATGGGGCACAGTATATATAGCAGGGGGGTACGCATGGCAAACGGGGTAAGTGAGGCAGGGAGAGAAGGAATTGTTGCATTCCTTTGATTCTGCTGGGTTCTCAGTGATGCTATATATAAAATAAGGTAACTGTGCAGTTGAGTGGGTAGGAAGAAAGGTGAGGTATCTTAAGGCCTGGTGGAGGGTGACTGCTTTCATCCTGTTTTTGTTATGCATCTGATAAGCAGGTTTATAACCAGTACCTGTCAGTGTTAAATATTTAACAAACTCCAGTTACACAGTTAAGAGGTCAGCAGTAGCTTATAGGCCTGGGTTTTATTGTCCGTGTGCCCAACTGCAGCCATCATGGGCCAGTGTTAAAAATTTCCTTTCAATTTTCATTTTTCTGATAATTACAATCAGCGAGAGGTGAAGAAAAAGTTCAAGGGAATGATCTGACCTCTCACCACCCTATACAGGAGATGACAGACGACATGGACTCATACACAAATGTATATCGTATATTCTCCAAAGACCCTCAAAAATCACAAGAAGTTTTGAAAAATTGTGAGATCATAAACTGGAAACAGAGACTCCAAATCCAAGGTAACAAGTCTGAAGAAATGGGCAACCAGCAGTGCCTCTCAAATTGTGTCTTCAATGAATAGCATTAGCATCACCTGAGAGCTCATTAGATGTGTAAACTCACAGAAACTGGGGGATAGGAGAGGTAGAGTAATCTGTGGTGTGACAAGGACTCCATCTGATTGTGGTGTAAACTCAAGTCTGAGAACTACTAAGCACTGAGGTATTAATCAGGTAGGTGGGAGCAGTGTAAGTAGAGAACTCCACGTCTGACAATATTGCTTTCTTGCCTTTCTTCCCAGGTCTTCAAGAAAGTTTGGGTGAGGAGATAAGAGCGGCTGCATTTTCAAATTCAGTGAAGGTAGAGCATTCAAGAGCAGGCCTCTTCATTACAGAAAATTTCCTGAAACTCCATGCCTCCAATAAAAGCAAGCTTGGAAGCTGGGCAGAGATAGGCCAACCAGATGATGAATTTGAGAGGTACAAAAATCATGTGCTGATCATTTATAATTGCCATTCCTTGTACATTTTTGTAACTCACATAAATCAGTTTTGGAGTGAAGAGAGTATGAATGCATTGCTTGGGATGAATAAAGGTTACCAATGGTCAAAATATGCAACTTTGCACTGGTGGGTCTTTAAACAAGAAGACGGCCTGGGATCTCTAGAATGGAATGATACCCAGAAATTACAAGAGTGGGGATGAAAGTTGTTGTCTTTCTTTACGTTTTCTACAGGAAAACTCCCAACTTTAATTATGCCCAGCTGGATAGCTCTTATTCCGGGCTGGTAAATGACAATTGGAAGCGAGGGAAGAATGAGAGGAGCCTGCGTTACATCAAGCGCTGCATAGAAGTCCTGCCAGCAGCCTGTGTGCTCGGCCCAGAGGGGACCCCAATCTCATGGATAACCATGGACCCTTCTTGTGAAGTAGTAATGAGCTACTGCATGAAAAAATACCGAAAGAAAGGCAACATGGCACAGCTGCTGGTGCGACACCAGAAGTATCTGTGTCAGAAGAATATACCATTTTACGTCTCTGTACTGGAAGACAATAAAGACTCCCGCAGATCAGTGGGGTTGGCGGGTTTCTTTGAGGCCTCCTGTGAGTGGCACCAATGGACCTGCTACCCACAGAATCTAGTTCCATTTTAGACAATGAAGCTGCTTAGCAATCTTGGGCAAGCCATCTCTTAATATTAAAGCAGACACCACAGAATAGCTTTCTTCACTTACAAATGTCGATTGGGCATTTGTGATACGGCAGGAACTCTTTCGCACATGGAGACTTGATGTTAAAAGACGCAGCCATGCTCTTGAGGAGCTCACAATCCAGGCTGGAGGCAGGGGAGGGTATAGTCTTTAAATATGCTTAAGCGTTGTAGGGAAGGACGGGGTTACCAGTAAACATGTCACCAGAAAGCCAGGCTCAGTTCTTACCTCTGGGAATCAGAACTCTTTATGTAACTTGGTTGATAGAATCTACTATCTGGAAGATAAATGAAGAACTTTAATAAAATTGTCAATAGAATATACCTAATCTATATGGATACTTTATTGGAAATGAATAGCCCTGCTATGTATGGATTTATGAGGCAATGGCCACACTAAAGAATGGAATCTGTGTCTTAGTTTAGTAACTAGTAATGTATCAAAGGTGAAGCCTCAGACAAATGGCTTTCCCAGGCTACCTTTCATCATTGTTATGCAGAATAGGATCTCCAGAGAATCAAGTGGGCTGGCCTTGAGGCCTCTGCGATGGAAATGACATTTGTTTTGCCTCCTTTCTCCTACCCTTTCTCATTTCCTCATCATTAGTGAAGCATGGCACAGGACAAGGTGTTGCCTGTGAGTCTGGTTATAAGTTCAGCTTTTGGTATTTGCAGCACTGCTATCTTAAGGGGTCACGGGCATTCTGGAGAGAAGTGACCACTAAGATGAAGACTGGAGAGTGAGTAAGAGTGAGCCAGACAAAAAAAGCGGAAGAATCCAGATGATGGAAAGGACACGTGCCATGCACTATCATAATAACTTTCTAATTGAACACTTATATTAAAATTTCTGAATCCCTGATCTAAAAAAAAAAAAGAAATACACTTCACAAAAAAGCCATGGCCTCATTTGGCTTTGCTCTCCCACCCTATTATGGGAACTTGGATTGCTGTGAACACTGCAGCTATAGGAAAAAGAAAAAAAAAATTGGCATTTTCACTCTTTCTGATTGTCTAGATTTAAAAAACAAAAGAAATCTTGACAGAATTGTCTTTTGTAATAAAGTCTAGCAGTATTAACCAACACCTATCCTCATCTCTCCTTAAAAAATAAACCTCCACACAATTGAATGTTTATACTTGATGCGATTTGAAAGTGTGCAATTCCAGCACCTAAAGAATTGTGTAGGTCATGGAGTTTTTTAAAAACTCCAATTCATCTTGGAAGGCTGTGGTAGATCTGTTACAGCTTAGTATGAATCAATCCAATCAGATTTCTAAACTCCTAAGACCTGGCTGAAATGTTACATTGACTGAAATGAAAGCATGGTCTGAGAAAGAGAGGAAACATGTCATTTGGGATTTCAAAGGGTGGAAAATTCTCACACAAAAAATAAACTCAAGAACTTGGGGAAATATATAAACAGCTATATTTTGGCACTTAAGAGGCAAAAGCTAATACAGATGACGAGAGACACAAAGGAAATAAAATTTGCCTATTTCAAAATATTGCCTCTGGCATGTCCTGTGTCCAGAAGAGGCTGTACATCCGGGGTCTGGGGCTCAGGTCATCTTAGCACAGCCCAGCTGGCAACTTCCCTCCTCTGCCTCTTCCCTGAATGCAAGCCAGCTTCCCTTATCTAGCCCTTCATGGTCCTGTTAAGATAGTGATTCCTAAACCTTATCATGCACTTGTATTAAAAAAACAAGTGTGGGAAAGAGGAAGAGGAGTTCTTAAATATGGCACAAATAAGTTCAAAAGTATTAATAAACACACTAAAAATGAATGGGGTAATTTTCTTATTAAAATATATGTTTTTCATACTGAGTTAAAAACAACGTCCAAGAACATGCATTAATCAGCTCTGGCTGTCATAACAAAATTTCATAGAGTGACTTATATAACAGAAATTGATTTCTCACTCTTCTGGAAACTGGGAAGCTATATGACAAGGCTCTAGTGAGGTTTTCTTCTCAGTCCACTTCTCTCAGGTTGTTGATGGCTGTTAGCTCTCTGTGCCCTCCCATAGTGGAGACAGAGGAGAACTCAGACTCTCTCCCTTTTCTTAGAAGGACTTAATTCCATCATGGGGGCTCCACCCTCATGACTTAATCTAAACCCAATTACTTCTCAAAGGCCCACCTCCAAGGGCATTGGGAGTTGGGTCTTCAACATATGAATTTGGGGGTCACTGTCAGTACATAAGTAAGCATATCTGAAATAACACACTAGGGTTCATGCAAAGGAAAAAGATACACTAAATAAATGTGAAATTGAAAAGCAAAGTAATACCATCAATACTAGGCAAAATAGAACGTAAGATGAACATCTGCTAAATACAGAATTCTCCCACAACATAGATCATGAATCTGCCTCACAACACAACGCAACTACAAAATATATATGGCAAAAGCTGACAGACATACAAAAAGAAAAATGCAAATCCACAGTCTTAGTGGGAGAACTCAAAAAACTTCCCTCAGAAAGCAACAAATGATGCAGACTAAATATAACGACAATTTGAAAAAATGCCATCCCAACTTGATATTTCTGGTGATATTGGGGCTGTTTATTGTGTATTTGAGAACTTCTGTTCATCTGTTTGTCAAATTGACCAGCAGGGGGTGCTGGGGAGGGAAACACTCCATCAGGAGAGCGCTGGCCCCTTGTCTCTAAGCCTAGAGGCTCCTGTTCCCCCTCATGATCATCACCTATCAGGAGCAAGCACTGCTGATACAGGAGTTAAAAGAAATTATTAAGCAGTTAGTGTAGGTAAGGGAGCCCTCGGTAAGGGTTTTCTTTTAATGAAAAAGCAGCCCCCATATACTTTCTTTTCTAACAAAAATGAGCCTGAAAAATCAAGCCACAAGCACAGATAAGCAAGCTAAAAGCTTGCATAGTTAAATGCCGGCACCTATAAATAGAAAAGGGGTACCTGGAAGCCAGGCATACTCAACATGGAGGCTTCCTCTTCCATTTTTGTTGTTGTTGTTGTTTTGTTTGTTTTGTTTTGGTTTTGATTTTTTGGGTTTTTTTTTTCAGACGGAATCTCGCTCTGTCGCCCAGGCTGGAGTGCCGTGGCGCGTTCTCAGCTCACTGCCACCTCCGCCTCCCGGGTTCAAGCAATTCTCTGCCTCAGCCTCCTGAGTAGCTGAGATTACAGGTGCCCACCACCACGCACGGCTAATTTTGTTGTTTGTTTGTTTGTTTTGTTTTTTTAGTAGAGGCAGGGTTTCACCATGTTGGTCAGGCTGGTCTTGAACTCCTGACCTCTCATGATTCACCGTCCTTGACCTCTGAAAGTGCTAGGATTACAGGCATGAGCTATGGCACCTGGCCTCCTATTCCCTTTTCTTTGTCTTCACGTGTGCAGGCGACATGGCACAGGCCAGGTAGAGGCCCCATCTGCATACTAAAGATTAGTGTGGGATGGCCAGCCTCTTCATGTATCGCATCAACGGCACACCTGCTCCAACCAATCCTCTCAGCCCTATGTAAATCAGACACTGCCTCCTCAAGCTGATCTATAAAACCAACCACAACTCGCCCCATACCCGGAAACCTGCTCAGACACCCTTCCAATGCACAAGGAAACTCTCTCTTCTTTCTTTTGCCTATTAAACTTTCGCTCTTAAACCCACTCCTTTTGTGTCCACATCTTCAATTTCCATAGTGTGAGATAACAAACCTCTGGCATTTCCCCAGACAAGCGATGCCACTTCACTGCCATCTCAAGCCCAAGTGCCAAAAACGACCACTTTAGCTTGATGAATGCCACGGCTGCCACCATGCTGCTTAGGATAAGCAAGGACACGAAGATAGAGTGGGGACGGGTTTATTAGAGAGGCTGCAATAAAAGCACATTCCAGGCAACTTTCCACTTTTTAACTTCTGTCGCTTTCAAACTTAAAGGTGTTTTTTATTTCTGTTGTTTTGTTTTTCTTTTTAACAGTTTCTATTTCCGGCCAAAAGACTGCTCTTTGTTTTCCTGCTATAACTTATTTATTGTTTGTTCTAAAGTCTTTTCCATGATTTCATATAGGAAATAAGAAGGCAGCCATGTGTTTGCTCAACACATTGATCCTCTCTCCACCTAGAATTCAAGATTCCACCCCTCCTGATCTGCCAGTTTCCTCATATTTGCCTCATACCATTGACCTTGTTGGCAGATGAACCTGGCCAGTTCTACTTTACTAGGGACACCAACTCCTCTGAAATAACATCTGAGTCTTGGAATTTGCATATAAATCTTCCCTTGACACAGAAAACAGTATTTCCTTTTACCTTTACTAGAGGCATCCACTTGGGAGAATGGACAGCACTAAAATTACCCAGATTTCAAAACCAACCTGCTGTGCCTTTCTAGAGTCCTTGGAATGAAGACAAGAAAATAGGTTACAAGGGGATATTTTATTCTTCATTCCTCACCCTGAAGGAGCTCCTATTTTTAAAGGGATACACTGGGGACAGTCCAAAAGAAACTCTTGCAAATCGAGCTTTGCCATGCCACCACAAGAAGGGTAACCTGTGTGCCCAGGGGTGAAATTTTTAAGTTTTAGTAATGATGTCCAGGGTCACTCCTGTGGATATCAAAAACATTAAAAACCCTATAAGGGTGCCAAACTTTCAGAACCGTGTCTCTTCACAAGGACCTACCAAGGCCTAGAGATCATAGCACCTCACTAGCAGCCTACAGCCATTCTCCAAAGGTTCCCATCTGCCCCACCCAACACACACACACACACACACACACACACACACCCTTCTGCTATCCTTTGGCCCTAGATTTCACCTAACTTTGTTCTAAATCTTGATCTCCCTGTGCCCCCAAACTCATGTTGTATAGGGCCTTGGTAATCCCCTTGTAAGCATATTACCTGACTTCTTAAAAACTATTTATGAGACAAATATCTAAGGTAAAACTTTATATTTCAGGCCAGATGAGCACTCTTCTTATTATTATTACAAACACTGAACTTCTTAGTTGCTGAGAAAATATATTGAAAAAGAATTATTATGCTTGTATAGCCATAGATTATCTATGGAAAAGGACTGAGTGTCTCGAGAATGAGTGAAAATTGTTTCCCCTATATACACTTTGTTTCTTTTGAAAATTATATCCTGTGTATATTCCAAAGATAATGTTTTTCAAAAAGGGAAATTGCCTCCACTGTGGACCCTTATTACTTTGCTTATCCATCAAGTTCTCTTATTAACTGACTTATCCATCATAATCCCTTACTATCTTTTTATTCACTCACTAGTGTTTGTTTCTAGTGCTCATAATTGAACACAAATTTCTTTACTATTATATAAAAT